AGTCCACACCTGGCCTTGCCTCCTGGGGGTCCTTGAGGGTGTCCTTCTCTATGCTCGTAGACATAGGGGCACCCAAGACCTGTCCTGCCTGGGTGCCAGCCTGGTCCCTGCCCCTTCTCCTTGGATAAGCAGTGGACGTATGTCTCCTGCCTGGCTCTCCGGGAACCTGAGGACTGGTCACTGGGAGTCATGCTGGGAGGGAGGGAGGAGAGGGGTCAAGTTCACAGTCCAGTCTGGCCTTTAGTTCCTCTGCCCTCTTCAGAAGCTCAACCTATTTGCTTTCTGGCAAGGTAAGAGGCTTAGGAAAGACTTGAAGCCATCGGCTGTGTAACAGCACAGCACAAAGGGGTGAGCCCATTGGTTCTGGTGTCAGGGGTCCTGGAGCAGGACACCAGGGCCGGCACTGCTGCTGCCCTTACTCCCTCATCCCCGGGGAGCCGGGCTTGGGAGGGAGTGTGAAAAAAGCCATTTCGGCTTTCCCGACCATTGTGTCTTCAAACCCTCCCCGTCTCAGCTACCTTTCTTCCTTCCCTGGGGTGAAGCCCTGGAAAACGTGTGTGTTCTTCCGGCCGATTGCCCAAGCCCTGTTTAGATCTGTCAGCCCCAGGCTGGAGCCTACTGAGGACCCTGGCCAGCTTCTCCGCTCCACACGTCACTTCCTCCCCATCCTCTTGGCTGCCCTCTGTGTCCCCTTGTGGGGTCAACACAGACCAGAGAAGAGAGATGGGGTGTGACAGGTCTTTTCCTAAGCCTGATTTCAGTGACCCTGCCACAGGCTGAGCCCTCTGGGGTCCTTGGACCCTGCTATGGCTCGCCCATGATTTGGCTCCCCAGCTTGTGCAGAGGCCTAATCCTCAGTCGTCAGTCGATGGTACCGGCAGGGTGCAGACCCGACCCAATGACTGTGTTCTGGAGGAGGGCCTTGTGCGAGGCCCTTAGTCAATGGGGTCATGACCTTGGAAGGGGGCAGCTCTGCCCAGTGGGTTGATTCTCTGAGTCAGTGTGGCCCAGCCCCTCTGTTTCCTGGCTTTGCCGGGGATCCATTCCTCTGCCACCCTCCAGCATCACCAGATGAGACTGGGAACTTCCAAACCATGAGCAGAAATAAACCTCCTTCCTCCCCAAGGCCTTTGTCGTAGGTGTTACTGTAGCAATGAAGAGCTGACAAAGCGTGGCTTCTCCACCAACAGAGGGCTGGGGGTGGCACCCTCAGCACCCTGGCCTCGGGTTCACCTTCTGTGAGGTCCCCTGCCACAGGACAATAGCCCTGCTTGGGCCTTCTTGCCAGGGTCCACGCCTGGCTCTGGGGAAGTACGAGCAGCGTTGTGACCCCCTCGGCACCCACACGGCCCAGTGGTTCTGCGAACTGGCGGGCCTTAGCCTCAGACCCTTTGGGCCAGTGCTGGGGACCTGTCCCTGCAGGCCTAAGCCTCCACACCTCTCAGTGCAATGCGAGGAGGGAAACCTCCCTCGTCTCACCCAGGGGAGGCAGAGACAAAATGCAGACAGTGTGCTCAACACAGGGCTCTGCTTCAGACGTCCAAGTTCCTGGGATGAATGACAGCCCCTGAGCACTCCCTGGGGAGACCTGCATGGCTGGTCTGCACCTTGCTGGGTGCCTGCCACCCTCAGTCCTTCAGCCCAAGCTCCAAGCTTTCAGGAATAAGTGTTTTAGTCTAGTTCTGTGGGCCTCCCTCCTTGCCAGGCCAAGGTCCCAGCCTCACCCAGGGCACCCGACAAGGGAACAACCCAGGTTGTGGGCATGGGCATATATCTGAGTATTAGAGTTTTCCTTGTATGTCTCCTAGCTTTTTTTTTTTTTTCTTTCCATTTTTCTTTCTCCACTGGAAACATCTATTGCTAGAACCCTACATGCATGGCCTGCATCATCAGCTCAGGATTTTTTTTTTTTTTTTGACAGGCAGAGTGGACAGTGAGGGAGAGAGACAGAGAAAAGTCTTCCTTTGCCGTTGGTTCACACCCTAGTGGCTGCCGCGGCAGTCGGCATACCACGCTGATCCGAAGCCAGGAGCCAGGTGCTTCTCCTGGTCTCCCATGGGGTGCAGGGCCCAAGCACTTGGGCCATCCTCCACTGCCTTCCCGGGCCACAGCAGAGAGCTGGACTGGAAGAAGAGCAACTGGGACAGAATCCGGCGCCCCGACCGGGTCTAGAACCCGGTGTGCCGGGGCCACAGGCGGAGGATTAGCCTATGGAGCCGTGGCGCCAGCCAGCTCAGGTTTTGAACCTTAGCATTTAGGGCTCAGGACGTGGGACCATGGGCTGTGCCCTTGCTTCTGACCCCCCAGTCTGGAGGGCTGCCTTTCTGTTCAGACCGACCCACTGTTTGAGCTTCCATAAATTTGCATTCCAGGATTCTGTCAGAAGAGGAGGTATTAATGATTACATCAACCTTCTACTCAGTCCTGGGCTCCTCCTTCTATCATTTTGTGACCTTGGGCAAGTCACTTCATCTCAATGAGGTTTACTTTTCCAGGCTGTGAAAAGGGTACCCAGGTTTGCAGGGTATGGGGTGCCCAGCACAGGGCCCAGGCAGGATGCCCCTGTTTCTGCTCCCCACCAGCCAAACTCCAGGGCTCACCCAGCTGCCTGCTGACCCCGAAATGCAGACCACGCTTGTCATGACTGTCTCTCCAGGAAGAATTCTTGCTCCTTCCTTGAATGGGGGCATTCCCACCCTACCCTTGTCTGCTTTCCCCATCTGGACTTTGTCCAGATTCCCCCACATCCTCTCCTGTAATGTGGCAGCCAAGACCATGAGCCCAGGTCCCCAGACCACATGAGCGATTCATAAGGCACCCAAATCTTTGTGTTGGATTTTGGGTGATTACTCAGTCCCTGCCATTTCATGTTTTATCACAAGCTTTTGCATAGTTTTTCTTTTTTTTAAACTACAAAAGTTATTCAGGGGCTGGTGCTGTGGTGCAGCAGGTTAAAGCCCCAGTCTGTAGTGCTGGCATCCCATATGGGCAACGGTTTGAATTCTAGATGCTCCACTTCTGATCCAGCTCCCTGCTAAGGTGCCTGGGAAAGCAGTGGATGGCCCAAGTCCTTGGGTCCCTGCACTCACGTGGGAGATCTGGAAGAAGCTCTTGGCTCCTGGCTTCAAATTGGCTCAGCTCCAGCCATTGCAGGCATTTGGGGAGTGAACCACTGGATGGAAGACCTCTCTCTCTGTAACTCTTTCAAATAAATATATTTTTTTAAAAAAGCGATTCATTCTCATTGTTGAAAGGAAAAAAACTATTTAAGTGCAAAAAGAGTAAAAAGGGGCAGTGTACAGTGGACAATGGACTGGGAGACAGAGGATGCGGCTGGAGGACGAGTCGTGACAGCACCCCGGGCTCCCGTGTGAGCGGCCGTCGGCTCCAAGCAGCTCCTGAGATGCCGCACACCTTCCCAGGGTGGGGCCGCCTGCCCACCTGTCACCAGACGGGCCCTGAGTGCCTGGGACAGCCACGGGGACGTGAGGTGGGGCTCATGGCAGGGCAGGGAGGCAGCTACCCAGAGGGGAGGAGAAGGGTGGACAGGTTGGGTGAGGGCAACTGAGTGGCAGCGTTTCCTGGGGAGCTCCCACGTGACCCCCTGCAGAAGTCACAGGTCAGAGCCACACTCCTCGCCTCCTTCTGGGGTTCATGTGCTGTGCAGGATCCCGCGACTGTCTGGGCCGTGCTGCAGACACCAGCCAGACAACCCTGAGCCCTGCACAGCGGGGGGTGAGTGCATGGGGAGAGTGACTGGAGCCCCTGCAACCATCTCGAATCCAGGAGAAAGAGGTCACCACGGGGTTCCGTGCTGGACAGCGTCTCCTGCCACCCCAAGCCTGTGGGTCCGTGTCACCACGGAGGGGACCACAGAGCAGGGGATACACTGAGCAAGGCTAACATCCTCCCTCATTCATGGCTCCCCACCAGCAACATTTTAATTATCACAACCAGAACCGGAGGAGGGCGAAGGACATGGGAGCAATGCAAACACAATCTGCAGACGCGCTGAGAGCTGGGAGGCACTCGGGGGTGGGTGACAACCACCAGAGGGCTGCACAGGAAGGGCTGGGAGCAGCCTCTGCCACCCCAGGGCATGCTTCCTGTGAACAGGAGAAGGGCAGCCAGAGGAAAGCCGGGCGCCTGGAGCGAGGGCTGGACGCAGGAGTCGCAGTGGGCGCTGCTACAGTGGGTCAGAGCTCAGCAGGGCCTGTGAGCCCCTGGGCAGGGACGGGGCTGCAGGTGCTTCCCTGACCCCTTTGTGAGTCCCGTGGTGTTCATGCTCACTTTCTGGTGTTTGGCCAAGGCCTTTTCTTTGCCTTTAGGTTGAACCCACATGAACCAAAGAACCCACGCGCTGTGAACCACTGTGGCCTGTGACTCAGGGACTGCCTCCTCTGGCTGTCTTCATGCACACACTAGAACATTCCAGCTGCACCCACAGGAGCAAGCTACTCCCCATATGTGCTCTAAACACACGAAGCCTTTTTGCCAGGGACAGGCACAGTATCCATCCACAGAGCCCATCTGAGAAGTAACCATCTGGCTTAATGACCTTTTGCTTTTCGTGTGACTCCTCGAAGCCACAAATCAAAGCTATTCAGTCGGGGACAAAGCCCACACTCGGCAGCCCGAGGCCTCAGAGCCTGGCTAGTGCAGTGGCAGTGTGAGAAGCAGCACTGTCACGAGCCCCCTCCAGGGGCTGGCTGTGCCCTGAGCCTCTTCCACGCTGCACGATGGGGCTCTAGGAGGAGGGATGGGGCAGCCGTGAGCTCCTGCCTCTGCTCTGAAACGCACGGTGGTGAGGACAGCCTGTGCACTTCCTCCATCTCTGGCCAGGGCCGACCAGCACCCAGAGCCCTCCCACAGGTGCTAAGGTTTCCCGCCTTCCACAGCTCAGAGAGCTGCACCGCGTCTGCGCCACCCCCATGCTGTTTGCAGCCCTCGGCGGCCGGGAGCCCAAAGTGACCCCCGGGGAGAGTGGGGCCAGCACTTACCCCCCGCCCGTGCCGCCGTTCTTGCTGAAGTGCGTGCGCGGCTCGCTGGAGGCCAGCTTCAGCAGCTCGGTCCACTCGCGCTCCCACTCCTCCTCCGTGTACACCAGCCCGGACTGGGGCAAGGGAAGCCGCTTCAGGAGGTGGGCGCTGCCCTCTCTCCTCACCTCCCCAGCCAGGAGAGCCCCGCAGGACCCAGGCCAGGCACATGAGTTAGTGGCCACCAGTGGTCCCCCCACACTGCTGTGGACAACATGTTTTTAGGACCCCAGACTCGAATTTCAGGGCTGCTGGGAGGTCCCCCCCCCCACCAACCCTCTAACAAGGTCTTCCCTGGGAGGCAACGATAAGCCAACCTTAACCTGCAAGTGTACCAGTTTGAGCTGACCGTTAAAAAGTTTTAAAGGACATGCGGCCCACTTTAGTCCGAAAGCAGGCAGATTCTTCTAGAATGTTCTCCATGGTTGGCAACAGTTGGGGTTCCCTCTGGATTGAGCTCACACATGGGACTGGGGACGTGGGCTGCACCTGATCGTAGGTGATCACATAACCCATCATCCAAGCTGGGACACTTGTGAGTGTCAAAGTTGGCGGCTTTCAGAAGACAGAGTTGGGTGTGCACTATTGCAACGGGCTCCTCGTCCAGGGGCTTACACAAGGGACACCCTACTAATCCCACAGGCTTTTCCGCCTGACCCCACAAGACAGACGTGGGCTCCACCAGGGCCCGAGGCAGTGCCTGGTGCAGGTCCCAGGCTCTGGCCAGGCCAGCGGGTACCAACCTCCTTGTTCTGTTGCGTCTGCTGCCACCTCCACCTCCGCTTCAGGGCTTCCCTCTCAGCCCCCGTCCTCATCATGGTGTAGAGAGCTTTTCGCAAAACCAGGTCCCGGTCGTGAAACCCCCACATCCCTGCAGCCAGGAGCCCAGGAGGAGAAGAGGAGGGAGAAGGGACATGAGGAAGGGTCAGCCAGAGGGGATTCACACCACCACCTGCCGGGCTGGCCTCCGTGTGCACGCAGAGACGCTTGGTCATCAGTGGTTCAGTTCTCATCTGAACTTCCCCCTCCTTTCCCCTGAAGCCCCCATCAGTGCTTGGAGGCAAATGGAGCAGCAGATCTTCTTCTCAGCCAACAACAGTGGGACGAAGGCCAGTGCCGCCAGGCTCTAGGACCCTGGGCAACAACACCCTCCATCTCGCAGGTTTGCTGTGAGGGATCGCACAATGCTCACCCTCCAGGTCTTGTGTTTGGGGGAGAAAAGGCCTCTAAGGACAAGTTGGTCACGTGTCCTCACAAAGGACCCTGAGCCGGTATGGCCAATCGCATCCTGGGTCCTGGGTCTGCTAGACCCGATGTCCGATGTCCGCAGCCAAGGAGAAACAGAGCATCAGTGCACTCCACTGCACACAGCTGGCCCAGACAAGGCCTCCCCCATGCTGGAGGTGAGGGGTTCAAAAGACAGACCAGTCATCTGTGAGCAGCTTGGCCAAGATTGAGAAACCCAAGCAATGGGGGAAGCAGTGAGAGGGACAGCCCTGGTTACAGGGAAGGAGGTGAGGGAATCATTTATGTGTTCATTCCGGGTGGTGAGCATGTGCACGCAGTGACCAGGACACAGAGAGTCCATAAAAAGTCCCATGGAGCGCACACTTCGGGGAAGCAGAAGTGAAGTGGCTGCTAAACTAACGAGTGACGTCCAGTGTCGGGAAGGGGTGACACAGGAAGGAGACAGGGGCAGGCCAAGAGCACAGTGGCAGGTGCATTTCTTAGGGTGTGAACGGAGGCTTTGGAGTGAAGACTTGAAGGGTACAGGAGGGGCCCAGACATCATCCCAGGCTAGGGACAGGTCCAAGTGGTGTACTGGAGAACAGGCTGGTGGGAAGGGTGGCTGGAGCCAGGACTGGGGGACAAAGCAGAGGGGAAAAAGGTGGGCCCTCAAGCGAGTGGGGGGGCCCTTGGAGAGTTTTCAGAATAGTGGGGACCTGCACTGCTCATGCTTGTGCAGGCTCAGGCTGGCTGGGGGGTCCCTGGACATGCAGTAACAATGACAACTGTGGGCTTCCCAGCAGGCCAGGGTTTTTCCTGCAGGACGGATGGAGGGCAAGGGTCACCTTCCTCACCTTCAGCCCTGCTGCTGCCGCCTCAGCTCCTCGGCCCCCTGGCTCAGGTCTCTATTGCACAAAGAGTCTTCTGGTCTTGGATGGGTTTGTCTACAGGCCTAGCTCCAGGACCCCTGTCATTTCTATGTGTGTCCCACAGTCCTAGCTCAGCATCAGGCCTGGTCAGCCAGTACTCGGCAGACAATGGCACAAACTGGGGAGTCCCGGTCCTTTGGGGTTTAGGTTTTTGTGTACAAAATGAGGACAAACCATGGGGATACAAGAACCAAGAGGCCGTGAGCTCTGGGATCTGTGCTGTATGGGAGGCCTTGCAGCCCTGGTCAGTGATGGCCCAGCCTCTCCTGCAGGTAGAGCAAGGCCAGTCTTCAGGAGGCCTTGTCTTCCCATGCCAGCCTGGGAGGTCCATCATGCTCTTGTGGCAAAATGCCATCAGATGACATCATGGCGGCCTAGCCTACCCAGGGTGCAGACGGGGACAGTGACCACACGGCAGCACAGGACAGAGGGACTTCTGCACCTGGGGTTTTGCACTGAGGCTGCCATTTGATGCAGATGGGAGATCCTCTTAAATTCTTTCTCCAGGGTTTACAGAGAATGAGGTAAGATATGTCCAGTGATGGGGAATAGCCAGTGAAATAGGACTCAACTCCCAAAATCATGTTTTTGGAGAGTAATAGCATGGAAAATTCTCCCTGTAGTTTTAGGAATATGTCAGATTCTGAACTGGGGACACAGTAAGATCACACTTTCATTGCAAGAACAGACAAAAACGGGCAGACAATGTGCCAAAGTGTTACAAGCAGCCAGCACTGGGTGGGGGGCGGGATTATTAACTTTCACTTTCCCACCATGATGAATGTGCAGTACTTTCATCATGCTGACCGGCAGGGCATGCTGGTTTTGATGTGGACAGGAAGCAGGTAGGTGAGTACCTTTGCCCTTCCCAGTGCTGCCATCAAGGTCATGGAACTGTCCCCTTGCCTTCCATACCTCTTCTCCTTGGAACCTCCCTGGGCCCCTCCCAGACCCCACAGCCTCTTCGCTCTCATTTCAGTTCCCCTTCTGCTGAACAGGCCTCACTGCACGTCTACAGGGAGGCCTGAGGCCTGGCCTGTGCTCTGGGTCACCGAGTTAAGACCATGTTCACTTGGGGAAGTGGGTTTGACCGATGAGAACCACATTCTTTTTTGAGGTTCTACATGCCCGGGTGGACTAAGGGCAACTGGCTCTGAGTGTGGGGTCCATGGTACTGATCCAGACTTGCCTGTCAAAGCTGATTTGGCCTTGTCTGTATAAGGCTGGGCCTAGAAGGCATAACCGAGCTTCTGGGAAATCCACGATGACCTTTAGTTAAACAGTGTTGCCATCTACACCTGTGCACCTGCTGGCTTGGGCTTTTGTGATCGGGAAGCTCACCATTCCATTGGAGAAGGTTGCTGGTATCTGTGCTGTGCATTCTAACTGTGCTGACTCTCCTGTGAGTTACAGAGTGGTGTCTTTATCTGTCCTTTCAGCAGTCCCAGTCCTGTAGACTGCTATCCACATGGTGGCCTCACAACTACCGTCAGCCATGATTTCTAACAGTCATCCCTGCAACGTATGCTCAAGCCCTCCTCCCCTCAAGACAGGTGTTTTCTCATGTGTTCTGTCTCTCCATCAAGACAAGAAGGGCTGGGATTACTGACTCCATCGCTTGGGCACTCCTCCAGGTGATGGTGACAAGTGAGGCGCGTGCCTGCCGGGAGCCCCTTCACCCTGTCTTACCCAGCGAGGCGGCATGCAGGAGGCAGTTCCCATCTCCTGTCGTGGCCAAGGGAAGAAGCCGCTTACAGCTCGTGCACACAGTGGACCACCAGTTCAGACGACCTGCAACGGAAGGTCAGTTCAGAACGCAGGAGCAGAAGAGGCAGGGATCATGGGGGGAAGTCTTTTCTAAACAGGCACAAAGGTCAGTGGGAGATGTTCTGGGAGATTCCAGCAGGAAGGTGAAGTATTACGAGTCATTTTTCCTCAAATGATAGATGGCTACTTGCTCCCTCTAAGACAAGAAACGGCCAACCCACTGGTCAGTGAACAAGAGGATTAGGAAACTCAAGGCCAATCCCTTCTCTCCTGGAAGCTGGCAGCATCTTTTACACACAACATAGCATTTCTCTTTGATCTTCTCAAACTCGATGTTTCTTCTTGAAAGTTGTTTAGTCCTTTAATCACCTTTGGTTTTTGATGCACACACACCCTTGAAAGTATGGTCTGTATTTAACACAGAAAAACCATCAGTTATTTAGGTGCAGTCATGTTAAATTTCCTGAACTCATACAGAAACTTCTGCTTCTGCGAAGACAGAGCAAGCGGACGTTTCCCTAGGAATCACAATGAGATCTCTGGAATTATAGATAAGATATGAAGACTCTGAAAGGGGCTGGCGCTGTGGCTCACTTGGCTAATCCTCCGCCTGCGGCGCCAACATCCCATATGGGCACCGGGTTCTAGTCCTGGTTGCTCCTCTCTTCCAGTCCAGCTCTCTGCTGTGGCCCGAGGGGGCAGGGGAGGATGGCCCAAGTCCTTGGGCCCCTGCACCCGCATGGGAGACCAGGAAGAAGCTTCTGGCTTCGTATTGGCACAGTGCTGGCCATGGTGGCCATTTGGGGAGTGAACCAATGAAAGGAAGACCTTTCTCTCTGTCTCTCTCTGTCTTTAACTCTACCTGTCAAATAAAAAAAAAGAATCTGAAAAGTGGAGAGAACGTGGTAGAGCAGCCAGGGACATGGAGCTGATGGCACAATATAATGATAGGATCACACACAACCACACACAACCACAGAAAAACTAAAAAGCAAAAGCATGTTCTCAATATACTGAATACTAGGAAAGGCGCAGCTCGCTAAGCAGTTAGCCCTTTAGACATAATGGTTCCATTCTAGTTGAATACAATGGGGAAAAATTACAGCTGCACCATTGCTCTTGATGGCAAATGCTTAGTGGGGCTCCTGGATGGCCACCTTTTCTGAGCTGTAACCAGGTGGCCTCTATCACTTCTCTCACTGCTGGGAGGAGGGGCCAGAGAAGGCTGAGCACAGAACCAGGACTTCAACCCTGCTGGGTGGTAATGAGCACCTCTGTCTCTCCCAAGGGAAGACATACATGAGCCTGGACCCCCATGCTCACCTGGTAGTAACGAGAGTCTCTGACCTCCCAGCAATGGTCATATCAGCAGAGGCCTAGTGAGAAGCCTCAACTCTTACTCCTGCCCATCAGTCCCAAGATGCCCACCCCACACCAAGGTGCCAGCAGGTGGGAGAGAGGAGACTTTTACGTGCATAGCTATCTGTCAGGAGGCAGCAATCTCCTCTTAACTGTCAGAGGAGGTTTGCTAATGTACAAGATTAGATAAGGAGGGTTGCTAAGACACAAGATTTAAATAAGTCCTGTAACTTAATACTAATGCACATCATTGTTTTAAATAAAAGATTTATTTATTTACTTTGACAGAGTTACAGAGAGAGAGGGAGAGACAGAGAGAGAGAATCTTCCACCCATTGGTTCACTCCACTGATGGCCACAGTGGCTAGTGCTGGGCCAGGGTGGAGCCAGGAGCTTGGAATTCCATCTGGATCTCACACATGGATGGCAGGGATTCAAACACTTGGGCCACCTCCTGCTGCTTTTCCCAGGACATTAGCAGGGAGCTGGATTGGAAGAGGAGCAGCTGGGACACAAACCAGTACCCATATGGGATGCCAGCATTGCAGGTGGTGGCTTTACCAGTGATGCCACAACACTGTCCCCTCAATGCACATTCATTTAGATCGAAAAATAGCTTATAACAAGAACCAGGAAGATTTCAAACAGAATGAGGAAAGACAATAAACAGACATAACACCAAAATGACATAGAAGTTAGAATTCTGTCACAGAGATTTTAAAGCAATTGTCATAAAAATGCTTCAGCAAACAATTGCAAACACACATGAAACAAATGAAAGATAGAAAATATCAACAAACAATTGCAAACAAACATGAAGCAAACGAAAGACAGAAAATATCAGCAAAGAAAGGGAAGTCTTTCCGGAACAAGAGAGGATGCACGGAACTAAATGACAGGTTTGGAACTGAAAACATATAGTGATTGATTTGAAAAACTCAGTGGAGAGTATGAGATAAGATGAGATGAAAGCTTGAATATAGAAATTACTCATTTTGAACAAACGAGATAGACTAAAAACCCCTGAACTTCAGGTACCTGTGGAGCCACAGCAAAGGATGTGACATTCACAATATGAGCAGGCCACAGGAGAGGAGAAGCACAACAGACCTGGAAAAGCATTCCAACAGACAACCACTGAACATTTCCCAATTTTTACAAAAACCAAACAAACCAAACCAAACCCGTAAACACGGATTTGAGAAAACGAACAAACCTGAATAGGAAAGAGAATTCATAACAAAATGTAAAATGGTCAAACTTTCAAAAACTAAAGACAAAGAAAAAGCCTCGAGAGCTTGCAACAAGAAACAACATCTTGTGTGTGTGTGTGTATGGTCTGTGTGTATGTGTGTTGTGCCTGTATACGTGTGTGCATGTGGTATATATGTATGTACATGTGTATGTATGTGTTTGTGTGTGTATGGTCTGTGTGTATGTGTGTTGTGCCTGTATACGTGTATGCATGTGGTGTATATGTATGTACATGTGTATGTGTGTGTTTGTGTGTGTATGGTCTGTGTGTATGTGTGTTGTGCCTGTATACGTGTATGCATGTGGTGTATATGTATGTACATGTGTATGTATGTGTTTGTGTGTGTATGGTCTGTGTGTATGTGTGTTGTGCCTGTATACGTGTGTGCATGTGGTATATATGTATGTACATGTGTATGTATGTGTTTGTGTGTGTATGGTCTGTGTGTATGTGTGTTGTGCCTATATACATGCATACATGTGGTGTATATGAATGTACATGTGTGTGTCTCTGTGTGTATAGTCTGTGTGTATGTGTGTGTATGGTGTGCCTGTATATGTGTGTGCATGTGGTATATATGTGTATGTATATGTGTGCATGGTGTATATATGTGTGTATGCATGTGTATGTGTGCACAAGTGCATATGTGTGATATGTGTATATACACATGTACAGTATGCATGCATGTTATATGTGTATGTATGTGCACATGTGTGTATGGTCTGTGTGTATGTGTGTTGTGCCTGTATACGTGTGTGCATGTGGTATATATGCATGTACATGTGTATGTATGTGTTTGTGTGTGTATGGTCTGTGTGTATGTGTATGTGTTATATGTGTATATACGCATGTACAGTATGCATGCATGTTATATGTGTATGTGCACATGTGTGTGTATGGTCTGTGTGTATGTGTGTTGTGCCTGTATACGTGTGTGCATGTGGTACATATGCATGTACATGTGTATGTATGTGTTTGTGTGTGTATGGTCTGTGTGTATGTGTGTGTATGGTGTGCCTGTATATGTGTGTGCATGTGGTATATATGTGTATGTGTGCATGGTGTATATATGTGTGTACGCATGTGTATGTGTGCACAAGTGCATATGTGTGTGATATGTGTATATACGCATGTAAGTATGCATTCATGTTATATGTGTATGTATGTGCACATGTGTGTGTATGGTCTGTGTGTATGTGTGTTGTGCCTGTATACGTGTGTGCATGTGGTATATATGCATGTACATGTGTATGTGTTTGTGTATGGTCTGTGTGTATGTGTGTGTTGTGCCTATATACATGTATGCATGTGGTTTATATGTATGTACAGGTGTGTGTATGTGTCTCTGTGTATAGTTTGTGTGTATGTGTGTGTATGGTGTGCCTGTATATGTGTGTGCATGTGGTATATATGTGTATGTGTATGTGTGCATGGTGTATATATATGTGTATGTGTGCACAAGTGCATATGTGTGTGATATGTGTATATACACATGTATAGTATGCATTCATGTTATATGTGTATGTATGTGCACATGTGTGAGTATGGTATGTGTACGTGTGTAATGACAGATTTCTCATCAGAAACCAAGGAGGCCAGCAGAAGTGGCACACCATTTTTCAAGTTCTGAAAGGAAAGAACAGTCAATAGAGTCTTGTATATATAGTAAAATACCCTTCAGGAATAAAGGGGAGATGAACACATTTTCAGATGAAGGAGGACTAACAGAATGTGCTTCAATCAGATTTACCCTTAACGAATGACAAAGGAATTGTGTAGACAGGAGGGAAATAACAAAAGGAAAAATTATTGGAACATCAGGAAGGCAGAACATGGAAAGGATAAAAGTATGGGCAAATACAGATTTTTTTTAGTTTTCTAAATTATACATATGATATTTGAAAAAATTAACTTTTGTCTATCTGTATATATCTCAGGAAATACTTAAGAAATTACATTTTATTTCATTTTAAAAGATTAATTTACTTATTTGAAAGTCAAAGTTACAGAGTGAGAGGGAGAGAAACCTTCCCTCTGCTGGTTGACTCCCCAATGGCCACATTGGCTGAGAATGGGCCAGGCTAAAGCCAGGAGGAGCCGGGAACTTCTTCCAGGTCTCCTACACAGGTTGCAAGGGCCCAAACATTTGGGCCATTCTTTGCTGCTTCTTCCAGGCCATTAGCAGGGAACGGGATCAGAAGTGGAGCAGCCGGGATATGAACTGGTGCCCACATGGAATGCTGGCGTCACAGGCAGAGGCTTTAACCAGCTATGCCACAATGCTGGCCCTGACAGCTATATATTTTTTTAAACTTTTATTTAGTAAATATAAATTTCCAAAGTACAGCTTGTGGATTACAATGGCTTCCCCCCCCATAACTTCCCTCCCACCCACAACCTTCCCAACTCC